AAGGTATGTTTTTTATTTTTAAGCTAATCATCTCATTGAGCTCTTTTTTAGTTCTAATTATTTTTTCTTTAATTCTCTGGGATTTTATGAGTAGAAAATTATATTACCTATAAATTTATCATCTAACAGTATATTTTATACTCCTTTCTAACACACACACACACACACACACACACACACTTCCTTATCTTGTGTTGTCCAGAATATCCAAGTCAGTATTGAATAATAACTATGACATGAGGTGTGGTGTTATGCTCCTGATTTTTCATGGGAAAAATTCTAGTGTTTTTACTGTTTAAAATTAAGATGGCCATTTTTTTTTGTGACAGCTGTCAAATTTTTATCAACTTTCTTTTAAATATATATCACAATAATGATCTGGAAATACTTTGTTTTGAAACTTAATATAATGTGGGATTTGTGTAGAGTCCTTTTTGGAGAATGTTGATAGTGTCTTTCTCAGATCTTTATTTTAGGTTAGGTGCTCCTAATAAACTGATGTCAGGTAGGGTGGTTGGTAGTGGTTGCAAGCCTTCCTTTTCAGCCACACTTGATGAAAATCTTTTTCTGAAGCTCAGAGGAAGATCTGGTGTGACTGCTTACCAAATATGTAGGAATATGAAGTTTGATATAGGTAAAATATGTGATTGAATCAGATTGGCTAGCTCTTAACACAATGACATTCAGCAAATTTGAGTTAAAAAATTAAGTATAAAAGTCTAGGACTGGGACTTCCTTGGTGGCGCAGTGGTTAAGAATCTGCCTGCCAATGTGGGGGACACGGGTTTGAGCCCTGGTCCGGGAGGATCCCACATGCCGCGGAGCAACTAAGCCCATGCGCCACAACTACTGAGCCTGCACTCTAGAGCCCGTGAGCCACAACTACTGAGCCCGTGTGCCACAACTACTGAAGCCTGCGCGCCCTAGAGCCCATACTCCACAACAAGAGAAGCCACCGCAATGAGAAGCCCACGTACTGCAACGAAGAGTAGCCCCCGCTCCCCGCAACTAGAGAAAGTCTGCGTGCAGCAACAAAGACCCAACGCAGCCAAAAATAAATAAATTAAAAAAAAAAGTCTAGGACTTTTTGATCTGTGGCTTAATAACATCTAGAAAAAAACAAATGTGAATTTTAGTTTTTAATCCATCATAAAAAAGGTATGTGATGCAGCTGAAAAAGGGTCTATGACATTTTAAATGATATTATATTATGGAGAAAAACTTGGTAGTACAAACTTAAGAAATTCTATAGCAGTGTGCCATTGGTAAGGTGTTCAAGTAAAAAAAGAAACAATGAATGACGTAGGCCAGGCTGCTATGTATCGAGATACATAGCCACTTAATTTACATGCGCAAAGCTTAGCTGGATATTTAAGAAACAAAACTGAGTGATACAGATCTCTACCCTCAAACAACTCCCACCCTGTTAGGCTTGATTTTAACACTATGTGAAGCTATTTTACAGGATGAAAATTTGCTTAACGTGGTTGTCATGTCCAGTCTTTTAATTTAGTTCCCATAAGTACATAACATACTCCCAGGGAATAATCTTAAGCACTAAGAAAATCTTATTTAAAGTACAGTATCCTGGTCTTCCCTGGTGGCGCAGTGGTTGAGAGTCCGCCTGCCGATGCAGGGGACACGGGTTCGTGCCCCGGTCCAGGAAGATCCCACATGCTGTGGAGCGGTTTGGCCCGTGAGCCATGGCTGCTGGGCCTGCGTGTCCGGAGCCTGTGCTCCACAAAGGAAGAGGCCACAACGGTGAGAGGCCCGCGTACTGCAAAAAAGAAATAAATAAATAAAGTACAGTATCCTTTTGCTGACAAACTCTTTGGTGGGTATTCAGATTATTCTCCTGTTTGGCTTCAATATCTCTAATATGAACTTATGCATTGTGGCTAGAAATCTCTTGAATTTACAGATTATGGCCAAGTTTGGTGGGAGAGCTTTATAATAACAGTCTTTGCAATAGAACCCAAGCAGAAATCAGAACAATGTTTTTGCACAGAGTCCACTTAAATTTGTACTTCCACCTAATTAAAAGCTTGAAAATATTTGAATTAGGAGACACTATGGAAAATGCCATAAACTGGCCAAATGAAATATTAGAAAGGAAAGGTTCTGCTAAAGAGAAGTTTTGTTAATGTACGATTTTATTCACCTAGCAATCTTATACAAAACAAAAAAGTCTTGAGACTTTCTCATCTTTGGGATATCCAAATATCCCAAGTATCTCCTAAATGTTGCTTTCCCACAGATCCCAGTTTATATGAGCAAATATTGCTTTCCCACAAACTCCAGTTTATGTCAGTAAATACCACGTTCCCACAAATCCCGGTTATGCCTAAAGATAGGGAGGCAGATGGTGGGACAAATTCTACTAGGAGAGCTCTATCTACTTATTCGTGAGGCTAATTAAATCTTTTTAAAATAAACATCAGTGGCAGTTTAAACAGAAACAGGAGAAAAGGGAAGCCAAAAGTCTGAGAAGTGTGTGAATGGGGGAGAGTTTTTGTCAGGATTTTCCATGCTGATTCTCAGTATGTGTTTTCCTTTCTCCCCACTTCCTAATCCACACCCACACATCCTATTGATCTCGGAGAGGCAGAAGTGAGTGATGGCGTGAAGCGAGATCTTAATTCCTTGCCCAGGAATTGAACGTGGGTAGCCTGGATGAAAACCAGGAATCCTAGCTGCCACACCCCCTGGCTCTTGCTCCCAGTGAAAAATGCATTTCTCACAGAGGCAAAACTGTAAAAACAGGTACAAAGTTTATTATTAGAGACACAGCACAACAACAAGTGGGAGAGCACAGTTTGTTTAGTTAAGATAGAAGCAAGGCAGAGATGCACACCCGGAGAGAAAGGGTGTAGGTGCCCTCCTTAATGAGGAGGAGTTCAGTAAAGAGGTGGTTAAGTCATCTATATAGGGCAGTTCTTCTGGGTCTTTGTTTACCTTTGGCCAATTATCTGGTTTCTTTTTCCACACCTGCCCTGCCTTAGGACCCTCCCCAACATGCGTGCACAACAGCCCAGAGGCTATGGGATGGCCTTAGCATCACATATTATGGGGTGGTGCCCCCTCCCTTTTGACCCCCAAGGAGCCTTTTCTAAGCATGTGCAATATTTCCCTTGCCCCAAGGATGGGAAATGTATGAACTCTTGATCTTTTAACAGGGTTTAGTCCCACTCGGTCCCTGCCATAAAAATGTCCAATGTCCAGTTATTTATCCTATTTCTGTTGCTGGTTTTTACATCAAGGTGCAGATCTCGAAATATACACTGGAGTCCGGTCATAAATATGTAGTTCTGGAGCCCGTTTGTCTCTTGTATGTGATGTAAACAGGGGGCTGGTAATGAATGTCCGGCCTGGAGCTCATCTTCTTCTAACCCAAGGAAGTGTGAGCAGGAGGCTAGTTGTAAATGTCTAGCCTGGAGCCCATCTATCTCCTGCCTCACTATCCTCCTAAACCCGGGATAATAAGAAGCTTGATTGCAGGTGTAAAATTCACGGGCCTTCCAAAACTTGAGTACATCTCTCCAGGTGCATTTCATCGGCTGCTAATGGAAAAGCAAAAAGTATAACCTTTTACCCCAAAGCAGTTAGCTTGGTTAGCAGCATTGAATTGAGAAAATGCAAATCCTAATAATCTCTCACACTGAAGTAGAAAATCAGTTTTGGTTCTGAAATTTGGTGAGGAATCAATTCAATTTTTATTAGTTATTTCACATCCTAATGAGGATTCCCCAATGATGGCTATGCTTATGACTCTACCGAACAACATTTCAACGGGCTGACAGGTTTCTCGCTTTAATTTTATTCAAGACTTGGCGTCAATGATTTTTTTGGTTCCCTAGTTCGGAAAGACAAATTAGTCAGGGGCATTTACTATATACTTACATTGCCTTATGTGGCAGCCTGCCCTACTTCCTTGGAAGAAATAAGGAATGGGTTTGTGATGGTCAGAGGAGACTGGTTCTTAGTGGCACACTGAAGTTACCAATCCCACTTTTAGTCTTAAACCAGAAAGCTGGAGCTGCCTATCTACTCCTGCCCCCACCTCCATTTTAACTGACAATTTAAAAAATTATTAGAGAAATATTCAAACATACACTAAAGTTGAGAGAATTGTGTAATTAACCCCATGTATCCTGTACTCAGCTTCAATAATTATCGATACTTTTAGGCAGTTTTCTGACCAGGAAATATAATGCCCTGAAAGCTTCAATTCTCTATCTCTACTTGGCTTTTGTCTTTCAAATTTTGGTTCCTGGGCCTTTGGACACTGCAATTGTATTAAAAGAAGGATTTGAGTGAGGAATTTAGTGTTTAATGTCAGTCTCTTTTTCAGCTCTCCTCCCTCTCTGGAGAAGCCACTGGTTATTGGGTGCTAGGTGGAATCTGGCAGTATTTATTGCGGCCAAGAGCTGTTTTTCTTAAAACAGATCACTGTCCCGATTTCCGTGCAGAAGACCGGCCAAAAAACAAAGCTGGAGAATTTATGGGTATCAAGCCAGTTCTTACCCCACCTCAGTGCTGTTTTCTAAACATTTACAGAGAGCAAATTTGCAGAACAGTTTTCTGGTCACACTCTGTAAAGTATCTCAGTACTTTCTCTCCCCTTCACTTTGCACGTCCTGTTTGGGGATGAGTTGTCAATCTTTCTGAGTTTTTGGTGCTAACCTCCTCCCTCGCCCACAGCGTCGGGGGCCGCTTGCAAAGCACTCCCAGTAGGGCCTCCTGGGGAACGAGAAGCTGCTGATCCGCAAAAAAGCGGAAACGTGGAACCGGAATTGAGCTCGCACGCTTTTGTGTCTTGAAAAGCGAGAATCCCGGGGAAGCTTCCCAATCTGCCTCTCGCTGGTAGCCTCTGCTGAAATCTTGGCAGCTCCCGGGATATAAGAAGGTGCAGGAAGAGACTTAAACCCGCAGCGGAGAGGCTGAGAATCCAGCACGGAATGCATCCCAGCACTTGGTTTGTGGGCTCCTGTTTCCTTAAGCCTCGAAGGTGTCGTGGTTCACGGTCACGGTTCCGCCTATCAGCGCCTCCGCCCTGCGGTTCCTGTCGGAGTTCCGCCCTCTCCGCGGGCAATGTAGGGAGTCAGTGGGTCCGAGCACCCGGGGCCCGACGCTCCGCTTTCAATCAGTCGCGGAGAAACGCCAGCCGACCTCAGCCCCAGTACAACCTCAACCTTAAGGGAGAGGTTGTAGACATTAAGACCGCGGCGGTCTCAGGGCGTTGTCCTAGGAAACGCCGTTTAAGGGAAGTCGTATTAGTTGTTGGGAGCGTCTTCCTTGCCCCCCGCGCTCGCTGCCAGGGCGCGGGGCGAGATCCCAGCTGGCTGGGAACGGAGACCGCGCTTCCCCAACGCCGGCGGTTTACCTCGTCTCTGCACCCCTAGGCGGCGCTGCACTCCTCCGCACCCGGTCCGCTCCGCTTTCCCAGACGGCTGCCAAGCCTCCAGTCTAGCAAGCCTAGCTCGCAGCCGGCCGGCCCCGGGCAATTCCGGTATTCGGAAGGCGAACGTCGGCGGTCTCTGCACCTCCAGTCGGCAGCAGCGGCCAGTCGGCCCTCGTTTTTTTCTTTTTTAAAACCACGGCTTGTGATCTCCGGGAGTCCGGAGCATGGTCCCGGGTCACCGCTGGTGGAACGAGGACGCCGAGAGGGAGGGAGGATGGTGGGCTGGAGGGTGGCGGTTCTATGTTTGTGGGTCTCCTGCGGCTCTGCAGCGGGACAGCTGGAATACTCCGTGTCGGAGGAGACCGAACGGGGCGTAGCCGTAGGCAATGTTGCCCAGGACTTGAGGCTGTCAGCGGCCGCTCTGTCCTTGCGGAACTTTCGCTTCCTTTCCAGCCACGGCGAGCCCTACTTCGAGGTCTATCTGGCCAGCGGAAGCTTGGTGGTCAGAGAGCCGGCGGATCGCGAACGGCTGTGCGGGGACAAAGCTGCCTGCGTTCTGACCTATGAGCTGGTGCTGGAGGACCCGCTGGAGCTGCACAATATTCACGTTCACGTCCTAGACACCAACGACAACTCGCCTCACTTCCCTGCCGGCGACGTGCAGTTGCACATTCCCGAGTTCCTGATGCCGGAGCCCGTTTTACTCTCCCTAACGCCCAAGATGCCAACGAGGGAAGCAATGGGGTGCTAAGCTACAGCCTGAGCCCCAGCCAGCACTTTCGCCTGGACATGGGGTCGTGCGCGGGTCGACGGCAGCGAATACCCGGAGTTGGTATTGGAGAAAGGGCTGGATCGGGAGCAGCGTGCCACCCACCGGCTGGTGCTCACCCCGGGACGGCGGGCCGCCGGCGCGCTCCGGAGACGCACAAGTCACCATCGTCGTGGTGGACACAAACGACAATGCATCTGTATTTGAGCGCTCAGTATACCGCACCAAGGTGCCCAGAGTCCCCCCAACGGGACTGTGTTATTCCGAGTTCAAACCTCGGACCCGGATGAAGGCTCCAATGGGGAAATCCGGTACTCCTTAAGCAGTAGCACGCAGGCAAAGCTGCGACACCACTTTCACGTGCACCCTAGAAATGGGGAATTGCGGGTAGCTGCTTCACTGGGTCCGCCTGAAACACTGTTGGAGGCATACATCGAGGCGAGGGATGAAGGCGCCTTCGGTCTAGCCAGCACCGCCAAACTGCTGGTGGAAGTGACTGATGTGAACGATCACGATCCCTATGTGAACCACCCCACTTTCTCCAGGCCAGTTTCCGAGGACACCGCCGCTGGCACAGTGATTGCTCTCAGTGTAAGGGATGAGGACCTTGGTCCCAATGGTAAGGTCGTTTGTAGCATGTCCACTGGAGGCCCTTTTAAGCTGAAGGCTTCCTTTGACAACTACTACAGCTTGCTGACTGGTGGGCCGTTGGACCGGGAGCAGGCCAGTGAATACCAGGTCCTGATCACTGCCTTAGATGGTGGCTCGCCCCCACTTAGCACCCGCAGGACACTGACTGTGTCAGTTGCTGATGTGAACGACAATACACCAAACTTTCCTCAACCGAAACAGGAACTTCTTGTGGCAGAAAACAATGGCCCTGGGACCTCCCTAGGATGTGTGTTTGCCCAGGACCCAGATCTGGGGAAGAATGGTGTCATCTTTTATGAGCTGTTGGATATTATCTCTGAAGGGCAGGCAGCCTCTAACTTGGTGGCAGTAGATTCCTCCAGTGGGGCTATCACTGCCAAAATTTCCTTTGACTTTGAGCAGCTCAGGGAGTGTCACTTCCAAGTGGAAGCCCAGGATGGTGGCATTCCTCCCAGAAGTGCAACAGTGACTGTGAACTTGTTTGTGGTAGACAGGAACGACAATGCTCCAGTCATCTTGTTTCCCTTGCCCAGAAATGGCTCTGTCCCAGTGGAAATTGTGCCCCACTCTGCCAGAACAGGACACCTGGTCACAAAAGTGGTAGCAGAGGATGCAGACAGTGGCTCCAATGCTTGGCTTTCTTACCACATCTCTCAGGCTTCTGACTCGAGCCTTTTTAGAATTTCAGCCAATATGGGAGAGCTCCATACTGCTCGCTTAGTTCTTCCCACCGATGCAGTTAAACAGAGGGTGGTGGTAGTGGTTCGGGACCATGGAGACCCATCACTTTCCACCTGTGTCACACTGGGCGTTCTGTTGAGCAACTCTGTCCCTCGGGTCCTTCCAGACTTTGAAGATGGCTGGGAAAAAGGCGGGCACCTTTCTGCCCAGAACCTGTATTTAGTAGTTGCCCTGGCCTGTATTTCCTTTTTATTTCTGGGGTGCTTACTTTTCTTTGTGAGTAGCAAGTTGAGCCAGATCCCAGGTTGTTGCTCTCAGAGCTGCTGTCGCTCTCCAGAGGAGTTGAGATATGGGAGCAAGATGGCTTTGAATCCTTGCATGACATCTGCCACAATAGATGTCACTACAGTCGAAAGACTTTCTCAGACCTACCTCTGTCGGGCCTCTCTGGGACTTGGTTCTGACAATAACAGTTTGCTGTTGCGTGGGGAATACAGTGCTGCTGACCTGAGAAATTTGGCCTCTGGGATAGAACTGAATGTGCCAATATCCTGTATTCAGATTCACAATAGGAAAGGGGATCATGCAAATGTAAATGCCGTGGTAAGCAAATTTTATGGGATTTGATTCCCTTGACCAGGAAATGACCACTAGCTATTTCTGAAATGTTTCTTAGATGAGCCTTTGGCAACATTTAATCCAATGAATTGAATGCTCCTGCTTAGCATCCCCTGTGCTAAGGATTCTGGGAAGATATAGGCATTAAAAGAGACTGACCTTGGCCTCAAGAAGGTTACAGTTTATTTTTGAGAAAGCAAGGTAAGAAATTCAAACCTATTACAGAACAACTAAAATAATATAGCATAAAGGTCTAAAATTTTAAAAAAAGCACCAAAGTTTCTGGTACAGGTAATAAACAACCTGGGGGGTCTTTTTAAAAAATATTTATTTTTATTTACTTATTTTTGGCTGTGTTGGGTCTTTGTTGCTGCTCGTGGGCTTTCTCTAGTTGTGGTGAGCAGGGGCTACTCTTTGTTTCAGTGCATGTACTTCTCATTGCGGTGGCTTCTCTTGTTGCAGAGCCCAGGCTCTAGGCATGCAGGCTTCAGTAGTTGTGGCACACGGGCTCAGTGCTCTAGAGCACAGGCTCTAGTAGTTGTGGCGCATGGGCTTCGTAGCTCCGCGGCATGTGGGATCTTCCCGGACCAGGGCTTGAACCTGTGTCCCCTGCATTGGCAGGTGCATTCTTAACCACTGTGCCACCAGGGAATTCCCCTGGGGTGTCTTTAAATAATTCCTTTTATGAATTTCTTTAAGGAATTACTTAAAGCAAATATCCCTTCATTAGAAGTATTTTGAGCAACAGATATGTGTAAGGCATTCTGATTCCTAAGGTGAGAATGAAAATTATGTAAGAGTCTTTGTGTAATACAAACTTAATATCATGGATGATGAGACGTTTATTCAAACCATTACAATACATGATTTTAAAATGATGATAACCTAAGACATGTAAAAGTAAATTGCAGTGGATGTTCAAAGAAGGGAGAGAGATAACATGAGAGAACATCTAGGCAGGGAGGAGGAAATCATAGGAAGCTTTGTGGTAGAGATAGCTGTTGAATTGGATTGTGAATGCTATACCGTTTAATAAAATGCAGCATACTCTCTAGGCTATATTTTACAATAAGCCCCGTTTTGACAAAGTAGTCTTTTTTTAGAATGATACTCCAAAACACAGCTAGTAGTTCCACACAGTGTTTGTAAGTACATAAAAATTCTAGGCATATCGCAAAACACCTATTTGTACTGACAGAAAGAAGATACGATGATTGGGTATAGGACTTGACAACCTTTTATTTTGTGTTCTTATTGATATATTTCACAAAGAAGACAGATGAGTAATTGTTATGTCAGAAACATTTGTGTGTTCAAAGGTGCACTTACCATTCAAAGTCCATTCAACTTGGATTTAATATTATTATTTTAGAAACCAGTATACTTAGAAGTAAGTAAATACCATATTTGGGAGTAATGCATCTAATAAAATTAAATTATACCTCAGTTTATCTGTTTGGCATTTCAAAACTTTCTGAGTGGAGTGGGAGCAATTGGCTTAGCAATTTTACAATATTACTTTCCAACTTCTCATAGAGATCATGGATACAAGAGAAATGTTGTGCAGAAATTAGGGAAGGGAACGAAGGGAATGTTCTACTCTTCTAGGTAATAAGAGAGAAAATTGGATAAGTTATTTTCCTTCAAATAATTATGTTAACTGCAAATAAAATAGATATGCATCCATTATAATTTTGCATAATTAATATTCACACATGATATAATGGAATCCAATATATATGATTAGTAAATACTTGCTGATGAATGAATAATTAAATTTGTGAATATATTAATTGGCTGGAAACACTCTTCAACATAGAGGGAAAAACTTTAACTTAACTTTTATCTTTACGTGTATATATAGTTAACAGTTTAAAGGCTATTTTCAAACATATTAGTTTCTTCCTTATGATATATAATCATGAAACAACACAACAGGGATTTTCTGGTCCTAGAGCTAGCATGAAAAATCTCAGTGCTGTGTTCTGGGGTTAAATAAGAGTCCAGTTCCTGTAGATAACGAAGTGATTAGTAGGGATGCACATCATAACACTGTGAACTTTGCAGTGAATGAAAATTAAAATGCAGTTAATTTTAAGGGAGAAAATTGGTGCACAAAATGTTAGTATTTCAGGTATCAAAACACAGTGTATAAACTCTATTAAGAAAATTCACCATTTATTTCTTTTATTTCATTGCTTTCTGTAACAAGGAGAGATAAGGATACCAGCAATGTCTATGCAGTTTGAGAATCAGGAATTGTTTGAGAGAAACATTTTGAC